TAACATGTCCTTATGCACAGTAGAATTGTAAATGGTCTGATTTATCAATGTCATGCTCATACGGAGCGGAACAACCTAGGGGTAACTGCTGCTTTTTCTTTCCTCATCCTTACTATCGTCATTTTCCCTCTACTTCTTTTGTATGTTTGTCACTCTTTCGTGATCCGCTATTTCCGGGTTGCCTTGATAGTCGAAGCAGACTTTGTGCTGTTGAGGCTAGAGATGTGAGCAGAGTAAGTCTGATTCCTCGTTTGGACTTCTCTATTGACATCCACCCCTTGGCGCTCATCATACGACCGTATGCAGTTGCGAGCGCCGTAAAACCTTACTGCAACTAAACCATCCGAACATCCAGGCGGAGAAATGCACGGAGCTGAGAACCATGATCGCCGATGTCTGTTTCAGATCTGGCTCGGCCGGTACTTTATGTAGCCGAGAATGTTTCTGGGTGTTCTAAAGTCTGCCTGGTGGTAATGCTATAGTGGGGTCAAAAATTCATGGCGCAACTTATCCTCAAATATCTCCTTTACGGGTGAATCAATGTCATACATACTTTGCACAGCAGTTTGTATTAATTTGTCTTTTAGCTAAATCATAATCTATATTTTTACTGAACAATTGGGGCTAGATTTTTAAAAACTTTTCTTCTTGAATTTATATATATATAAGATACTTGAAATCTCTGTCACACGTAAAATGGTATATATTGTTCACAGCACTTCCCGCTTCTCACACATATTTTCATTACACATTGTCATGGCCTACGTCACTTTTTGTTGCAAAACTTGTTAAAAGAAATTAATTATTTTTATACTGAACACATTTTTGCACTAATGGCTCACAAAACATGCGTTCAATTAATAAGCATAATGTCCCGATAAGAAAAAAAAAGACAGTATTTATTGACAGACTTGCTTTTAAAAGCAATGTTGCCCCAGCTGTAGAAACCACCCACTTGTATTTTTTATTAGTATTTATTAAAGGAATTTTCCAGAATACAGCTAGCAGGTGTTTACAAAAATGTTGGTCTGTTAAGACAAATTGATACAAGTCACTGTGCAAAAACTGGAGAACGTATAGTATCCTTGTGTGTGTGTGTGTGTGTGTGTGTGTGTG